TCTAACAGGTATCACCAAAGCTTCTGGCAGTCTCTACCAATTGCCTTGCATTGTGGCTGGATTGGAATCTGCTTTCATCACCAAATCCCTTGGGGACAGGAATGTTGATACTGTGCTGGTTGCTAGAACAACAACAGCGACAGCATCTCTTGATGTCTGGCAAGCCCGCTTGGGACACATCTCGACACAGTCAATACTGAAGATGGTCTGTAGTGGGATGGCCACGGGTATGGAAGTAGTTGGAGATGGGAAGGGAGGTTCAATCTGCTGCGAAGAATGCGAGGCCTCAGGACACACACGTTCCCCCATTCCCAAACAGACACTCACCTGTTCAAATGAAGTTCTTGGATGCATGTTCTCCGATGTTTGCAAAGTCCAGACTGTGACTCACAAAGGATATTGGTACTTCATCACCTTCGTTGATGACCACTCCCAATACCTAACCATCTACCTGATCAAAAAGAAAAGTGACACACTTGAAATGTCCAAGACCTTCTTGGCCCAAGCTGAATGGCAATCAGGCAGGAAGTTAAAAGTCTTGCACACTGACAGAGGTGGTGAGTATTTCTCAAATGAATTCTCACATTACCTCAGGGAGATTAGTATTGTCCATGAGAAGAATCCCAATACTCCACAAGAAAATGGCATTGTAGGCAGGATAATCGCCCATGCACAGACTCGGCTCGGATACTCACTTCCATGATTATAAAACAACTTTCATTCATGCGACGACTCGGTACAAATTTGGTATCTAAAAATAGTCCTAATTCGTACGATTCTGACGATACCAAGAACGTCCCAATCGGTGGAGATTTGACGGAGTTCCGTGTTGGAGAAGTTAGGCACAGCAGGTCATGAGTATGTGCGGGTGTGGGAACCTCAAGCAGCAACCCAGAATTCCAGCCTCACTCGTTCCCATGGTGTCTAATAAATCGGTAAAAATGCTCATTGGCCGCATAATAGTTTTATTCAGTCACATTTCCAATTTCGGCCCTTAATTCCGTAAATCCGTTGAGATATCGCTTATTTTCTTATATTTTCATATTTTTGCCATCATTTCAGATATTGATTGATTTTCTTTTATTGTTACTGATCCTTTTTCGATTATTTCGCCTAATAAGGTACCTAGGTGCCATATGGTACAAATATTCCCCATCTATTCTTTCTAAAAATAATTATTAGATATAATCCTGTACATACCGGATTTTGAAATCAAGTTCTCCCCTCCCCCAAATTCTCTAAGGTGCTAGGATGCACTAGAGTTGGAGTGAGTGAGTGGAATTCCAACAGTAGGAATAAGGGAAACAATCTAGCCTGCAATGAGTGGGTAGTGGATTTGTTGAGCCCGGACCTTGTGGAAATCCCGGAGAACCCACACCGGAGTTAAGGATTGAGAACGTAGCAAGTTTAGTGGAGAAAGTAGAGTTTTGAGAGTTTGGCCCCCCACAAGCTTAGTCAGCATCGAGAGCTGTGAGCCCTCTTTCAGCATCGCCGAGAGAGTCAACCAAACCCTCATTACAATGATGATCGCCATGCTCAAAAGCATGAAGTTGCATGTGGGTCGAACAGCTTGGCCTTATGCACTTCAACATGCCGCACTCATTAAAAACATCGTTCCCCACTCTGCACTCCCCAATGGCATCTCTCCACATGAACTCTGGATGGGAAATAAGCCATCAGTCTCCACCATACGTACCTTCAGCTGCAAAGCCATGCTTGCTATCCCCAAAAAGCAATGGGACAAGCTTGCCCCTAGGTCTATCACAGGAATCCACTTGGGTCTTGCTGTCAGCAAGAAGGCATTCATGATCTACAAGCCTGAAGCCTGCAAGGTTCATGAATCTCATGATGTACATTTCTTTGAGGAGTCTCCTGAACCCGAATGCGTTACAATTGAATCCTCTGTCATAGAGCCATCATCGCATGTTGTTGATAAGGACGAAGAGGCAAGAGGAAATGGGAATGGTGATGAAAGAATGGGAGAAGGAGAGGAGATTGGAGATGAGATTGATGAGATAGATGATGGCAAGGAGGTAGAAGTCAGGGATGAAGGACAGTGTGATGAACTCTTAGGGGGAGATGTGGAGGATGAGATCATCCCAGAAGCTCCCTGATGATCAATGTGTGAATGGCATATGCAAATCCGAGATGATGATGACCGGTATTTTGTCACTTCCTACAATTGGGCCAATCAGCCTGTAGACACCCAACCAGTGGGTGTTGAACATGCTCATGTAGCACAAACTGAAGTGCCACTCACCTACAACGACGCCATGAACAGGCCCGACTCCGATGCGTGGCTTGAAGCCTGTCAAGACAAACTGCTATCCCTCAAAGAAACCTGGACATACGTTCCAGTTAAAACTGATGAGGTTGAGGTTCATAATATCGTCGGGTGTCGTTGGGTATTTGCATTAAAGAAAAAGGCTGATGGAATGATCGAGCGCTATAAAGCCAGGATTGTGGCCAAAGGTTCTGGTCAAGTTTATCACATTGACTATGATGAGAAATTTGCACATGTTGTCATATCCATCTATGGCCATTGACTTCCACCACCTCTGATCCTTCCGGACTACCTCTGCTCCTTCATCACTAACCTTGGAGCCTCCATATTCCGCAGTCACCTCCAACTCCCTCAATGGTCACCACCCCCTCAATTCAATATATTACCTATGCCTCCCTAAGTATGGAACCCTGAAGGCCTCTGGACAGCTCTGACGTCCACTAGCGCACTCCTGCCCCTGCTGGGCAATTCACTTGCTTGCTCTGCAAGTTGTCAGGGCATGGACAGTTATCCAGCCGGCCCGCACCCCTATCTGGATAGGTTGAGTACCCGTAAGCCGATATCTGCATGTGATTTGCCATAGTTAGAACACAGGCTGTATTCAATGTGCTATTTCCGCTATCGCGTCATCCCTCACCTGTTATCGCCCCCTTATCCACATGATCTATTCTCCTATCTCATGTCGCTTCTCTATCAGCTACCATGTGTTCCCAATGTAGCCACGCTCTTATGATTTGCAGAACTCATGTATATAAAGCCTTATCGCCAGCTGGGTTGGCCCCTCAGCTTTTACAACGACTAGTTTCCCAGGGAGATTCTTATGCGTGAACTGACGCGCGGACTCTGACACAAGTCTACCTTCGGGCCTATCCCTCCTTTCCGTTTCTGGGTTATAGCCCACCATTCCGCTAACCCCATAACCCAACTCATCGGTAATATTCAGTCAGCTAACGTTTAACTCTGTTGGCTCCGCTCTGCTCAGTCCTGTCATTCATGGGCCCGCCCTCGCTGTAACTGTATATACATAACTTGTAGATAGGTTACACCCTAGTGATAAAATTGACTAGAGTTATCCCCCCTTCTAGTTCTCTCTGCCAGTAAGTAAATTAGGGCACGGACATGTAACTAGGCACAGCGCTCCTGGTCTGAGTCGCTGAGGCCAAAGCCCTTTGCCATGGAGACATTTCCTTTGTCTCCCATCCAGTCTCTAACACCTGTTGTCAAATGGGTCTCAATCCGGATTCTACTCGCTATCGCTGTGTGGCTCGATCTCGAAGTCCATCAGATGGATGTTAAAACCGCATTCTTGAATGGCAACCTAGAACACACTATCTATATGAAGCCACCAGCAGGCTGTGCTGTAGGCAGGCACAGCCGGTACTGCACAAACAAACTGAATATTGTGATTTCCCCATCCCAGCACATCCCCACTTCATGAAACACAGTATACACGTCCTCATATACCATTCCTACTCTTCCATGATTTTTTCCTATTTTTCTGGACACATTCCCAGTCCCCACAGACCCAATTCCCCATGCCCACCCAGCAGCATGGCCACACTCAGACTGGATTTCACTTATCTCAGCAACCACTGCACCAATTTGGTGTCAGGGACGCATCTGGGGTAGAGGGGGTCTGGATGTATCACCCAGCAGAGGGGCCCTTGCGGGGTGCAAACCGGGCATGCGTACTGTCAGGGACGCGTCTGGGGTCGAGAGGGCCCGGGGGTAATGTCCGGCACTGAAGCCGTCACGGGGTGTGGAGTGGGCGTGCGTACTGGTGGGCCCGATCCGGGACAGCGGTCCCTGGCCACTTAGTCTGAAGTGGAGAATGTGAGAAGAAGGTTACTTCTTCAGTTCCCACTTCAGGTACATTTATGTACATGCGGCTTGAGTCACATGACGAGTGCCACGTCATCCTCGGGGGCAGCCGCAGGCATCTGGGTGTCCCCGTGGGGGATCCCGAGAGCGTCTACTGCATGCGCGTGTGCTGGGCACAGTGGGAAGCCATTCGGGGTGTGTGGGCTGGACGGGTCAATAGTACATTGATACAAAGGAAGGTGGTCCATGTAGATGTCATCTCTCCCACGCTCATGCACTGCGCACCGTCGATGATATTTCAAATAACATCCGGGGTGCACAACGACCATTCATAATGAAGCATGCCGAAAAAATCCTCAACTTGGTGCACTCCATCGCTCCCCCCCCCAAAATCCCTTCATCCAAACTCAAGACAGAGTCGCTGCCGCCCAATAACCCTGTGCAACATGTTACCATCGCTGCACCTCAACGGGCCCCTTACAAATGCAAGCTGTGCAAGGTAGAAGGTCATACACGTATGTTGCTTTCCTCCCACTTGGACAATTCTAACACCAATCTATCCTTGACAGAACGCAATAAATTTTGTCCTGCAAAGCAGAATGCTACAACCTCAAGTGCCATTGCATCATCTACCATGAATGATCCTCTCATTAGCTAGCTCGATATATTGTATTCTATAGGCTTTAATTAATTATAAACAAATTTCCCTGCGCTCGTCACCCATTATCTGACGGAAAATATAATAAATATTGGTGTGATTATCGAGGCCAAAGAACTCGAGTTAAACAAACAATAACAACATATTGCGCCAGTCGCTTACGCAGTTTCGCTGCACCGAAAAATTCGGATATACTTTGGCGAAACTCACGTGAGCGACTGGCACTGAGTCTGGGTCATGACCAAGAACCTTGAAAAAGGGAGAGGTCGGGAGCGTAACAATGGATCGAGCATTGAGTGCGGAACACAAAATGAGTTTGGGGGGAAGGGGATTTCTTTGCTCCACATTGTCAAAAAACCATTGGGTATCGAGGATGAAATGATGTGAGTTCCCGTCAGTGTTCATCTCATTTCATGTCTGACTGCCATACCATGATCTCATACAGGGACTCGTTCACAACTGCCTCCGTGACCAAGAATGATGTTGAGGATTGGGGTGATGTGTGATCGTTATATGTTTCATTTCGTAGTCTGCATTTCAAAGCTTTACTGCGATGGGCTGATTGTACATTATGATTCGTGTTCACGCAATGGCACAGCTCACTTGATATTTCAATCATCTGAATACATCAGCATCTGAGTTACCTCAAAAACGTAAGGGGGGGGGGGTTCCGCAAGGTACAGCCCTGATGGCAGAGGGCCTATAACCTTGGTGTCTCTGCCCACACAAGTTATGGATTCACAAGTTTGTGGATCTTAGCTATTTAAGACTGCCTTCAGAGGTCAGTGCTTCACCCTCCTTTACCAGAGGTCCCACTTTTACCAAAGATGTTCCACATGCTTGAGGAGACTCAACGACACGGACATTCTCATTATCACGGGTTCAACACAGGGGCCATTATTCCATGCTGCAGATATAACAACTTCGGGTATCAACTATATATCCGGTTTTCTCCCCTGTCTCCTGTGCCCAGGTGAGCCAGACCTCAGACTCATTTTACAAGCTCGACTGTAGCTGTCGCTGATGATTGTTAGTGAAACATTTTTGACTAATTGGGGAGAGCTCTTTTTTGAGGAGAGTCAAGGTCGCGGATCTACTCACTATCATGTCTTGGCATTCCCCTTGCAGGTGATAGGGGTTGTTCTTCTTCGGCTGTACTGTAACTCTGACTGCAATGACTAGATGTCTGCTGACCATTAAGGTTGCCAGTTGAAGGGGGAAAATAGGGTTTTGTGGCTCCTTACTATGTCAAACTGTGCCTGGTATAGTGCTCCACACGAATAACATATCAGTTATATACATTGGCCACTCTGATTGTAGGTTATCAGCGAGGAGAGAGTGGCAGGTTCTGCCACGTCAGGCGGCGCCCACCAGTTATTAATTTGTGATCACCCGTGACTTCGTTGGCCAAGCCCATCAGCAAACTAAGGCTGCTTGAATTGATTCAGAGCACCTAATTGTTATAATCGCGGCATTGCAGCCTGACCTGAGTGCAATATCACAATGTCATTAGATATCGCACTCAGCTCTACACATCATACTTAGATACATTTGTGTGTGGCGCAAATGAACAAAGGCTAAAGCATTGGGACAACGAAACCTCCCATAAAGGGAACAATAAGTTATAACCATAACAACAAGGGCATCAAAATGCCATTTCAACACTAATCTGGTCAATCAATGCAATCAATATGATTGTTGAGCCAAGCCGGTGTTGTTGGAGAGCAGCACATACTGTTGAAATCCTTGTTTTCTTGGTACGCTGTGGACCATCCATTGAGTCCATCGGACTATACATCTTGTGCATGGGCATTTCCATGAAGGATTGCCCGATGCTTCTACTTTTGGCATCCATGTTGATGAACGCAGTCGAGGATGGCTTAAAAGCCACCTCACGCGATTTTTCTCTTTCCTCTCTCCTCAGTTCACATCTTTGGAACTGAGGTGAGACTCCCTTTTCATCACTTGGAATATTGTCTAATCTTTACATATTTCCTAGCACTAATTTGTGACTAGGTAATGACTAATAATACAAGTTCACATCTTTGGAACTGAGCACTAATTTGTGACTAGTTCATAATTTCAATACATACATCAGCAAATGGTCACTGTTCAGTTTGGCCACTTCTGCTGGATATGTCTGCCAGAAGTGACCAAACTACAATACTAGAGTGCTTGTGCTTTGCTTGACTCTGCACAGCCCTTGTTTCCTTTTGCCTGTCCCAGCATGGGGGGGCAGGCATCAGCAAAATATTGTGATGTGTCAGGGGATGACCTCTGGGTCCCCATGACCCCTCTCTCTATATCCCACAACCTGACCTGTAAACAGCCCTGTCCAGGGCACAATCTACTGTGGGTAAGAAAGTGAGAAGAAGGTTAACTTCTCACTTTCCCACAGTGGCCCAATATGGCAAAAACTTCTGGGGATACCTGGAAGTCACATGAAGGATAGGAACCAGGCCTGGAGTGTGCAGGGCAGAAGCGCACATGCGGGTGCAGGTGTGGGTGCGGATGCGGGTCCGGGTCTGGGCTAGTCAGGGTGTGTGCCCTGACATTATGCTCCTGAGTGCTCTGGAGTATGGAGAGCACTGGGAAAATCAGGAGGAGATTGGCCAGTCCAGGAACAGCTCATTTCCTCCAGAGTTGGCCAGGTACTCCAGGGCACTCCCAGGAGGGCATGGAGCATTGCTTTGTGCACAAACATATCCAGTAAATACAATTTAAATGCTTCAAAGTGTATAGGGGTGGGAAGCTTCTGGGAGCTCCTGGAGCATTTGAAAATGGGAAGGAAAAAAGAGGGAAGATTCCCCATGAATACCTCCTACCACAAGACTAACACAACAAGACACTGCTTAACATTTAGATCAAAACTGTACTATATATCAAGGACACTGAGACTCACCAATACACAATCAAAATTTATGGCCTGATATATGATTAATCTGGCAACTTAATCACTTTTGGGCTTGCAGAATATGGAGGGGGAAATGGGGGGGGAGAATGAAGGGGGGAATGAGGGGGAGGATGAGGGGGAGGATGAGGGGGGGAATGAGGGGGGGAATGAGGGGGGGAATGAGGGAAATTTGAAAAATAGGGACTTCTAAAAATAATCAAGGAAAAATCAAAAAAAATGCAGGAACTGTAGTGCCTTTGAAGTGCTTTCAGAATATATAATTATTTGCAAAATTGAGGAAGAAATGATGGAGAAAAATGGAAAATACTTTTGGAGACCTTGTCATATCTGTACAATCCCGACCTCTGCTCCAGGCTCCTGGAACTCCGAACCTGACTTCCAGAGCCCTACTTCCCTTCTGTGACCTTCTCCTTGCTGACTCCTGAGAGGTTACCCCACCTCCGGCTTGGACACACCCTTCAGTCCGACTCTGGAACATTCCAGGTCCGACCTCAACCTCGACACCTTCCAGATGAGTACGCAACACCTATGCTCCCAACTCTGGACCTCCGCTCTGGAATCCCGTTCATGTCTCCATCTCTGGAACCTCCAGTCTTAGCTCCGACCTCGGACTTTGACCCCACCTCCACTTATACCCATTGTATTGGTTAGCTCATTCCATTTAATTACGTTTCCCAATATTCCGGAGTTTAACTTCCGAGTTCGGACTTTCCGGACTTATGTCAGACCTTGCAACTATTGCATTGCTCCATTCAATTCCGCTATACTCCCTCATTCCTATTTGGGCTGCTGCTTCTTCTCTATTCAGTCAGCTGGCCATTCCCCACTCCCATCCTCCCTCCTTCCTCCTTGGGCCTTGGCCCTTCACTCCTCCTTTGGGAAACACCACTGAGTCAAACCCTTGACCCTCGGTGTTGTCCCTCCTTTCAGCTCCCTTTGTCTCCTTTCGGAGTACCCTCACTCCTTTTGATTCCAGACCCCTCCTTATATACAATGTACATAGTAACTTGTAACCTCAGTCCGAAATCGACCTGAAATGCCCCCAAGAGACTTTCCCTCTGCTAGATCTGAAATTAGGGACCCCCAGGACAACCAGCAATGGCACAGCGCTCCGGCTGAGTCGCTGAGGCTGAGGTCCTTCCATGCTAAGTCTCTGATTCCACTCCGGAGTCATCCGAATCTGCCCATTCTAACAGACCTGAGAAATAATGGGAATGTCATATCCATTCACCACCACCACCTTCCATCACCTCCCACCACCCCAGATTGCCTCCACTCCTTCATCTCCAACCTCGGAGCCTCCAGATTCCACAATCTCCTCTGACTCCCCTGATGGTCACTGTCAGGGACAGCTCTGAAAGTGGTGAAGTCCTGGCAGAGGGGACTCAATCATCAGGAAACCCCCAAGGCTGATTGAAGTGGTTGAGATCATTTCAACCTCACATGATTTACAATCACTTCAACTGGGTCCCCTGATTGTAATCACAGCAATTATGGGGGTGATTGAGCTGATTCAGTGATTGTATGGTTGGTTGTATCGGCGCGCTATCACATTCTCTCCCACATTGAAGTTTATCAATAAAGTTTATTATATTTGAACATTATGTTGCGTACATACTTGGGAAAAGAACCCAGATACAAGTTATTACAGTAGTACCCAAACACAATGTAATGCAAAATGAAACACAAAATAAAGAGAAGAGGAAAGTGGGTGAGAATACAATGTAATCAAAGAAAGCAGACGCGCACCTCCACCACTAAACCCTTTGGCACCAAACCCGGCATAAAGGTAGAGCTAGTTGTCTTCTATCGAACAAGCCTAAGATCGTCAGAAACGGATGAGTGGTTGCCGAGTACATGTGGTAAGAAGTTGGGGATAGTGTTGTGCATGAGAAGTTTGGTTGGAGGTTGGAAATGACATGGAAAAAAACATACAAAAATCATGGGATGGGAGGGGGATGTATCAGAGGGTATTGGGGAAGGGTCAGGCAATCGCAGAATGGTGGTGGCTCATGTAAACAAGCACAAGAGGGTGATTAGGTGGTCAGTTTAGCAACAAACACAGTGAACTGCCATACTTACGACTCGACATACAACAATATTTGGGTGGCAAACCCACCCTCATTCTTTCTTTTTCAAGTAAGAAACATCTGGGGTGGAGTAAAAAACATCGCATTGTGAATGCAACTGGAAAAAAAAAAGAAAAAAGAGACACGCATCATCATGTTCGTTCATGCAGTTCCCACAGCTGGATATTGTGAGTTGTTGATTTGGTGTTGCATGTGAAGAGAGAGTGGAGTGGAGTAGTGGAGTGCATGAGTTGGAGCAAAGAAAAAACTTCTAAGTTGCAAACCCATTCATTTGAAACTGTACAGCACCTGGATGCAAATGACAGACTCACACACATGGACGTATCCATGTGTGGTTGTGGTGATTGAGATGATTGAGAGTAGTTGATTGGGCAGATTGGGCAGATTGAGTGATTGAATTGCTCTCAACCACTTCAATCGGCCTCAGGGGTTTCCTGATGATGGGATGAGTAGTGGCTATGCATAGCAGTGGTCCCATCATGGGGTGAGCATCCCCAACCAC